GAAGATCCCACATGCCGCGGAGCGGCTGGGCCCGTGAGCCATGGCCGCTGAGCCTGCGCGTCCGGAGCCTGTGCTCCGCAACGGGAGAGGCCCGTGTACCGCAAAAAAAAAAAAAAAATTAATTAACAGATTTATTTTTGGCCGCACCACACGGCTTGCAGGATCTTAGTTCCCCGACCAGGGATCGAACCCAGGCCCTCAGCAGTGAAAGCGTGGAGTCCTAACCACTGGACCGCCAGGAAATTCTGACTTTTAATAGTCGTATAATAGCTGCCAATTATTTTAAGCTGTCTTGCAGCCTTTCAAGAAGCAGATAGGGACACAAATAATTGGTGATTATCAGTGTTAGCACTCCCGGAGCACAGGCTCCGGACGCACAGGCTCCGGACGCACAGGCTCCGGACGCACAGGCTCAGCGGCCATGGCTCACGGGCCCAGCCGTTCCGCGGCATGTGGGGTCCTCCCAGACCGGGGCACGAACCCACATCCCCTGAATCGGCAGGCGGACTCTCAACCACTGCGCCACCAGGGAAGCCCTATGGGAACTTCTTACATAACCTCTTTGGGTCCAAGGTTCAATGCTGTTTACTTAAGAGGATTAAACAAGATAATGTACATAGCTGCGCACTGTAACATGCAAATTTTAATTATTCCCATAAGTTCATCATCAAAAAGTAATGATAATTACCATTTATGGAAAACCCACATCATGCCAGGCCCTGCACTAGATACTTTACCTGCAAAGACTAAGAATTCTTTTCAGAAACCAGATGATGAAACTGATTCAGAGAGATCAGGTAATGCCCCCACCCCCAAAAAAACCAAACAAAACTGTCTCACTGGGCTAGAAGGATTACAATATCAAAAGGCCAGCACTTTTGGAGTTTACAACCAAATTGAGGGAACAAAGGGCGCATCTGCTCCCAGCTAGCATCAAAGTTGAGAACGGGGCTCGCCCCAAAGTCAGTATTCAAATGCTTTATAGCAATGACTGTCACGGAAGTAAAGGAAGTAAAAGGATGGGGAGTGAGGGGCATGGGAAAGTAGTAATGAAAAGGTGTATTTAATATTAACTATTTTATACTTGTAAAATGAAGACGGAAACCCATTGTCTTTTTTAATACAGATCACATATCATAAAGTTTCATAAATTCTTCTCAGCTGATGGGACCATGCAGAAGACAGAGACTTAAAATTGGGAGCATCTGCCTAGGAGTGAGATTTTTATGTTTCTCAAAAGGGAGCATGGGTTTTAAAAGATTACTCTCTCCTCCTTCATTTGATCCCAGAGCTGTAAGCAGCTACCGGGATCCTGCTTGGCCCCGCCCCTTCTGCATTTTTCAGGTGGGAGGAAGGAGGGGTGGGGTGGTTCTATCTCACTCGAGGTCGCCTGGTGAATCAATGGCAAAGCTCCGACTAGACCCAAGGTCTCTTGTTTCCCAGGCTGGTCTCTTCTCCAAGTTAAGCTGCCTGCCTCAAACTCCCAGCAGAGGTTTCAGCACCCCTCTGAGGATCCAGCACAGGACTGGCACCACAAAGGTGTATGAAGAATAAAGAACAAAAGACCCACTGGGAACAGTTAAGCACCAAAGTCTGGTGCCACTGTGAGACAGAAAACAAGTACCCAGTATCTCAGCAGGTATGGGGTCTAAGGCTCTTCCTGGCCCCAGGCCTTCTTCCTTTTAGGTTTCCCTAAGGGCGATCAATTAACCCTCTCCCTCCCCGCTCCCTTCCCTCCCCTCCCCCCTCTACCTCTCTCCCTCTTTCTCCTCAGTCTGCTCCCCAAGGCCAGAAAAAAGTGGCTGCTGGGCCACCAGTGCTGGGGTGGGTTAAGGGAGGGGTTGGTTTACCTTTCCGAACAAAGTAACAGTGCAGGGAATGCACGTGGACATCTTCAGTCACAGACTTGGCTGCAGCCACCAAAGCCTGGCCCACGATCTGACCCCCAAACAGCCGCTGGTTTGAGGGTACCCAGTAATGCCTTCCTCTGTGGGGAGAGGGGAAAAACAGGAAAGACTTGGGTGCTGGGCCATATCCCACAATCTTCAATGAGCCTCTAGTGCAGGATCTCTTAACCTGATTGGGGTTTGGGATCTTTTGAGAATCTGGTGAAAGCCTTTCCCCAGGCAAATATCCTAACACCACTCTACCTACAACTTCAAGGCCTTAAGGATGCCCCAAACTTCTGTGGACTTCAGTTAAGGATAATGAGCCAATCCCCATATTTTATTCTATGAGAACAGGGATCAGAGAGGGAAACTGACTTGAGCAAGGTCACACACACACACACACACAAGCTCAACCATTGCCATCCTGAGCAGTATCCGGGTCTTTTGAGCCCAAGTCCAGTGTTTCTTCCATTGCCCATACCAGGGTAAGGCATAAGCCCCTCAAGCCCTTGAGTAGACCAAGACGAACCCCACAAACTGTGGAGGGGACTGCATTAAGGTCTGCCACTTACACCCCTCAACTTGACAGCCCAGTTCTTAAAAGAACTAGATTAAGAGCTTGAAGGGCCCTCAGACTTCAAGTCTAACCCCTTCAGTGCACAGATGAGGAAACTGAGGTCCCAGAGGTGAAAAGTCTTGCCCATTGCATGAGCCCAGTGGAGGATTAAGAATTTAGGTCTCCAGCTTCCCACTGCCAAGCCCAGCATTTTTCATATAATGCATTGCAAATAGCCCTCCAGGGAGTTATTTGTAATTGGTTTAAGTGGGGCTAAGTTAATACCTAAGATAGCTTCCAATAAGCCAGGAGGAGCCTTGGAAGCCCAAACTATTAAATCCCCAGTTACAGTCAAGAATTTAAGCGGCATCAGGAAGGAAACTGGCTCAGGCCTCAGAATGAATAAAGAGCTACTAGACCCCACCTAGTGGTGGTGGGGATGGGGAATGTGAGAGGAAATTATAGTGAATATGCAGGAGCTGCGGATAAGTTTGTGCCCTTGGACAAATCACTGCCCTTTCTGGACTGGCTCTCCCTGGGACATGATTCCTCAGGGGAGGCTGCTGAGAAGGATACCTTGGGTCACCACTTTTTGCCTAGATTGCCAGGACCTCCCAGGGGTGGGATGCACAGACCCCCGCGCCGAGGAGGAAGCCGGGGCAGCTTTGTCAGGCACAAGTTCCCTCCCAATCGCAGCACAGGTATCTCGCGCAGAGCCCATCCTCGTCCAAGGGGGTACGAGCAGGGGCAATGGGGTGGCAGCAGTCAATATCAGGAGCCTCTGACCCAGTGCGTGGGTGCGGGCCCGATGCGGCCGGCTACCTGAAGAGATCCTCGTCCAGCAGCTCGAGGTTGAGCACGCTGGTGACCAGGACGCTGCGGAGGTCCCTGGGTGGATCGCCGCCGCCCTGTTCGTCCTCTAGGGCCTGCGGGGACGACATGTAGCCCACTTGCTGCCGGCCCGGGACCCTGCGCTCGGGGGCACACGAGGAGACCGGGACAGAACGCGCAGCCTCCAGCAGAAGCTAAGTAACCGGAAGTCCCCCGCAAGCCCTGAGAAAGTGGGATACAGGTTATGATTGGTCGGTGCTCCTGTCAGTCTTCGGGTGAGTCTGCCCACCTGCTCTCTAGCGATTGGAGAAAATGAGTGCCAGTCCGGGGAACCCGTGCGTGATTGGGTATGACAGTGAGGGGGCGGGGCCCCGGGACTGGATAATAAGGGCTGAGTGTCATTTCCCCTGTGTCAGAGAGCAAAGACGCCCGCCAACTGACGGTAACCCTCTCAGGCCGAGGGCTTCTCCTGAGCTCCGTTAACAGGCCACCCAATAGGGGCCCACCCTTAAGGCATCCTGGGCCCACGCCAGCCGGTAGACCCTCAGAGGTGACCTCTGACCCCTGGTGTTTATCTTGGTGCAGCCCCTGGTGTGGGCAGAGGGGGCGGCCATGGAGCTAGGCAGCTGCTTCAAGACCTACGAGGACTTCAAGGAGTGCTTCAGCGCCTACAAAAAGGAGAATAGGTGCTCCTTCATTCTCAGGGACTGCGTCTCCGTCCGCTTCCACAACCTCAACCATGGCACCTCCATCCGCGAGGACATCCTGTAAGGGGGGGGAGGGGCGGGGGCGGGGCAGGAGGGTGGGGAGGAGGCCGGATAGTCCCCAGGAGGGCGGCCTGGAGGAGGAGGGAGTGCAGCTGGGCCCCTGTCTCTTTGAGGATTCCACAGGCATTTATTGAGCACCTGCTGTGTGCCTGGTGAAAAGCGCAAAAGCTTCATATGCATCGCTTTTTGACCACCCGCTTCACCTTCGCTCACTCACGCCTTCATTCATAGCTTTTATGGAATTCATAATAGCTGCAGTTTTCCCATTTTTTGAGCACCTGCCGTATCCCAGACACAAAGTATGGCCTTCACAAATAGATAAAAACGCCTTGGCGAGAATTTTCTTCATCAGTCTTCTCTTTACAAAGCAGTAACACTGGTTATTTATTGGGTAGTTTGTTCATTCATTCATTCATTTGTTCGTTCTGTAAATGGTTCTTGAGCTCCTGAGATTTACAACCTTTTTTCAAACACTTCCCATGTCCCAGGCAGCATTCTCTATTCTGTATGCTTTACCCCACAGGACTATATTGAAAATTATAGGCAAATGTTATTTTTTCCATTTGGCAGATGAGAAAAGAAGCTTGGAGGCTAAGCAAAGGGTTGAAAACTCAATTGCCTTAAGGACTCAGGTGAAACATCCCAGTGTAAGAAAATTTAACTTTAACTATACAAAAAGGAATGATGAAATAAGCAACACCAGGTGTTTGTGCTAGGGAGAACAGAAGTGTGAACTGGGCAAAATGGAGAGCAGGCCAATTAACTCCAGCTGATGGCTGCCATGTGAAAATGAAGATCCAGTGTTCCCAGATTTGGGACAAGTGGAGTCAGCAATCCAGGCTTTATGCGAATGTGTCCACTTAAAAAAAAAATCAATTCAAACGTAATCGCACACTCTATAGGCCAGCTCAGTGAGTCAAAGTATATCTGAGTTTGAGACCTCTGGGTTGAGGCGTTTGGCCAAGCTCACTCTCTAAGCAGGCAGGCTGTGTTTTATTCCCCTACTCTGAAGTCCAGTGCTGTGCTGGGTACAGCTAACATAAAGATGAATAAGTAACTAAACCTGCCCTTAAAGAGCGTGAGGTGGCATAGAGTTGGACTTAGGTAAACCAACTAGTATGTGATAAATGCTTTAAAAGAGATGTGCAGAAGAAGTGACAGATGCCTGGGAAGAAAGGGAAAGGCTTCGCACTGGGAGTAATGGTTTCTGCTGGGTTGTGAATGAAGGCACAGGGCTAGTGTAGAAGTTCAGTGGTTAATATCAAGTATCACAGAGGGGTTTGACCAGAAGGAGCTGTGGAGCGAGGGCACGGATCCGTCAAAGAAGGTGGCATGTTGGAGAAACAGTGTGGGGTGCCATGCTTGACAGGAGGCTGTGTCAGTTGCAGTTTATGTAAAAGGTCTGTAAGTACCATTGTGAGGTGTTTGGACTTTGATCTCTGCCGGTAGCATCCTTCTAAGCAGCCAAAGAATACCAAAAAATGCCCTGCTTTCAAACTGCTTACAGTCCGGATAAAGTGCAGTAGCCTCCCGTTGCCCTCATGATTAAGTCCAGGACTGTTACTAAGCTGGCTGGCCAGACCATCTGACCCTTCTGACCTCCCCATCTTGCACCACGTGCTCCATCTACACCAGGTCTTACTCCACATTCAGCTCCTGTCCCAAGCCCACAGCTTCCTGGTCCTTGCACTTACCACGTCTGCTGGTTAGAATAACCTTGCCCATCCACTTATCTTAGCTCCCTTTTCCTCAAACATTAGTTGTTTTTATACTATCCTCTCTGTACTGTATATCCTGAACTACAATTTACTTAACATTTTTCTTGAAATTCTAATATTCAAAGAAACTTTAGAACCAATCTAAGCAATAATATAAGAAGTAACAGTGTAGTGGCAAAAAGATAGTATATATTTCTAAATAACTATTAAATATTCTTGTATAATCTGAGGTCATTTTGGGCTACTTGTGGAAAACTCTGTCTTAGCTAATTGTTACTTTTCCTTCAGTTATTAGCATAATTTCCAGGAAGCCTTTCTTAACTCCCTGAAGATTAGGTTAGGTGCTCCTACTCTATGTTCTGACAGCGCCTGTTACAGTTATTTGCACATCGTTAAGGAACACAGTTTACAGAGGTTTCCCTGGTTTGCTGAGCTCTTCCAGGGAGGGACTCTGGTTTACTATTTTTTGTATTCTCACTGATTAACACCATGCTGCTTGCATAGAATCTAGTCCAAACACCTCATAATCACGCGTAAACACCCTTCAAGTGGATGGTCTCCAGGGTCTAGCACAGGACTTGTCCCATAGCAGGCCTTAAGTAACTGTTGAATGAATGAGTCATCAAGTGTTAAATGTGTAGTTCAGCGATCCTGGTGCTGCAGGGACTCAGAAAAATCACAGTGGGCTAGGGAAGCAAGTGAGAAAGGGAGGCTTGAGCTGGGCTCCATAGATGGGGAGGTGTCAGGAGGTGTATTTGCTGCTCTAACAAATTATCACAAACATAGTGGTTTTAACAACACAAATTTAGTATCTTACTGTTCTGTAGGTTAGAAGTCAGGCACAGATCTGACTGGGCTAAAACCAAGGTGTCAGCAGAGCTGCATTTCTTTCTGTAGTCCCTAGAGGAGAATCTGTTTCCGAGTCTTTTCCAGCTTCTAGAAGCTGCCCACACTCCTTGACTCATGGTCCCCTGCCTCCATCTTCAAAGCCAACAGTGGTTGGTGGAGTCCTCACATCACATCACTCTGATCCTGCTTCGTCCCATCTCCCTCTCTCTGCCTCCCTCTTCCATTTTTTAGGACCCTGTGCAGATAATCTAGGGTAATTTACCTTTAAAAAATCAGCTAATTAGCAACCTTGATTCCATCTGCAATCTTAATTCCCCTTTGCCATGTAACCTAACATATTCACAGGTTTTAGAGATTAGGAAGTGGACGTCTTTGGGGGACCATTCTGCCTATCACAGGAAAGTTAACATCCTGGATGGAGAAATGGTGTTTGAGCTAGCGCAGATATTAACATGCTGTACTTGGAAGGCAGTGAGGAGACCTGCTTGGCTGGAAGGAAGATTTATGCTGGAGCAGTGCGAAAGAGAATGGAAGGGACTCAGCTAACAGATTAGAGGTTCGGATTGGTTTTATTTTTGTTTCTGCAGGCTGAACAATTTAAAAAATGAATTTGTTTTTGAGTGGTCAATATAGTCATTTAATTTTTTAAAAATTTCAAATTACATCAAAGGGTCTAAAAGTCAGTGTCCCTTCCACTGTGTTATCTAGAGACAACCGCTATTATCTTCCTGAGATACCCGTGAGCCTGAACAAACATATCTCTTTTTTTAAATTTAATTTTATTTTATACAGCACGTTCTTATTAGTTATCCATTTTATACATATTAGTGTATATATGTCAATCCCAATCTCCCAATTCATCCCACCACCACCACCACCCCCTGCCACTTTTCCCCCTTGGTGTCCATACATTTGTTCTCTACATCTGTGGCTCAATTTCTGCCCTGCACACCGGTTCATCTGTACCATTTTTCTAGGTTCCACATATATGCGTTAATATACGATATTTGTTTTTCTTTTTCTGACTTACTTCACTCTGTATGAGTCTCTAGATCCCTCCACGTCTCTACAAATGACCCAATTTCATTCCTTTTTATGGCTGAGTAATATTCCATTGTATATATGTACCACATCTTATTTATCCATTCGACTGTCGATGGGCATTTAGGTTGCTTCCATGACCTGGCTATTGTAAATAGTGCTGCAGTGAACACTGGGGTGCATCTGTCTTTTTGAATTATGGGTTTCTCAGGGTATATGCCCAGTAGTGGGATTGCTGGGTCATACGGTAATTCTATTTTTAGTTTTTTAAGGAACCTCCATACTGTTCTCCATAGCGGCTGTATCAATTTACATTCCCACCAACAGTGCAAGAGGGTTCCCTTTTCTCCACACCCTCTCCAGCATTTGTTGTTTCTAGATTTTCTGATGATGCCCATTCTAACTGGTGTGAGGTGATACCTCATTGTAGTTTTGACTTGCATTTCTCTAATAATTAGTGATGCTGAGCAGCTTTTCATGCGCTTCTTGGCCATCTGTATGTCTTCTTTGGAGAAATGTGTATTTAGGTCTTCTGCCCCTTTTTTGATTGGGTTGTTTGCTTTTTTAATATTGAGCTGCATGAGCTGAACAAACATATCTTGTGTGTACACATGCTTCCTTTTTTTTTTGCGGTACGCAGGCCTCTCACTGTTTTGGCCTCTCCCGTTGCGGAGCACAGGCTCCAGACACGCAGGCTCAGCGACCATGGTTCACAGGCCCAGCCGCTCCGCAGCATGTGAGATCTTCCCGGACCGGGGCACGAACCTGTGTCCCCTGCATCGGCAGGCGGACTCTCAACCACTGCGCCACCAGGGGAGCCCCATCCTTTTTTTTTTTTTTAACACAGGTGGCTGCATACTATTTATACACATCATTCTGCACCTTTGCTTTTCTCACTTGTCAGCGTATTTTGGAGATTACTCCACATCACTTATTCCATTGTATGAGCCCTTTAATTCATTGATTTTACCAATCATTAACTGAAAACTTTCTCCATGCTAGTGTCTGAGACACAGTGTTGAAAAGATAAATTGAGTCCCTGCACTCATGGAGCTTCCCCTCCAGTCAGGGAGACAAATATTAAACTCTAATCACAGAAATAATGATTTCTTTAAAATAGTAGTAAAAGGGAATTCCTGGCGGTCCAGTGGTTAGAACTTTGTGCTTTCACTGCCAAAGGCCCGGGTTTAATTTCTGGCCAGGGAACTAAGATCCTGAAAGCTGTGCAGTGCAACCAAAAAATAAAAATAAACAAAAGAAAATAGTAGTAAGAGTGCCGAAGGAAAAGTCTAGCGTGCCAGGTGGGGAATGACAGGGACCTGTAATCTGGTGGGTAGAGTTGCGGTGTTGGCTGACACTTAATACCAGGGTAGGCTCTTGATGAGGAGAAAA